ATGTTAAGTAATTCTGAGTGTAGTTTTTAAAAGTTGTCTATTAGAACACAGATTTGAGGGCAGCCTCCATGGCTCAGCAGTTTAGCACCACATTCAGCCCAGGACATGGTCCTGGAGACACGGGATCGAGTCCCTGTGTGGAGCCTGCTTCTCCCTCTACCTGTGTCTCTACCTCTCTCTGTGTGTCTCTCATGAATAAATATATAAAATCTTTAAAAAATAAAAATAAATTAAAAACCCCATAAATTTTGATAGGGAATATGGTGTGACAAAAGTAGATTAAAAGTAACGTGTCATTTGGTTACTTTCCATTACTTCATGGTCTCTTGCTACACAATTTCCCAGTTGTAAGAAAGCTAAATTTGTTACCTACTAACAATAATTTTAAAATGTCTTTACAAATGGGACGCCTGGGTGGCTCAGTGGTTGAGCAGCTGCCTTTGGCTCAGGGCATAATCCCTGTCCCAGGATCAAGTCCCACATGGGGCTCCCTGCATGGAGCCTGCTTCTCCCTCTGTCTGTGTTGCATCTCTGCCACTCTCTCTCTCTGTGTCTCTCATAAATAAATAAATAAAATTTTTAAAAAGCAAAATGTCTTTACAAAGATGTGAGCCACTAAAAATATCCATTATTTGGGAGCCCAAAATTAAATAGGTTATTTGGCTTGAAGAGATCTTTTTAAAAGTATGGCATATGGGGTGCCTAGGTGGCTCAGTCCATTAAGCATTCACTCTTGATCTCAATTCAGGTCTTGATCTCAGGGTTGTGAGTTGAAGCTCTGCGTGCCCAGCATGGAGCCTACTTTAATTGATTAATTAATTAATTAATTAATTAATTAAGAGTATGGTATAGATGGACACTGATGCTTTACCCATTCATTCACCCAACAAATAAATAGTAAGGGCCTACCTCATGCCAGACACTCTGCTGGGTGCTAGGAAAACAGTGAAAGCAGAAAACACATGGTCCCTCTTCTAAGCAATCTTTGTTTATAGAAGAGACAGATTATCACCCAGAGAATTACAAATTGAGAAATGTGCTAGAAAGGCAAAGTTCAGGATGTTATGAGAATATGAAGGAAAATTGATCTAGCCTGGGAATTCAAAGCAGGATATGCTATGGAAGTGACATTTAAGCTGAGATCTGAATAGTGGCCATTCACATTTATATAAAAACGTCTCATAAAATGAAAGCACTGGTCCAATAAACCCAGCTACCTTTGGCATCTTTATCTCAAAACAACCTTTTTTTAAAAAAAGGAAGGCCAGGGATCCCTGGGTGGCGCAGCAGTTTGGCGCCTGCCTTTGGCCCAGGGCACGATCCTGGAGACCCGGGATCGAATCCCACATCGGGCTCCCGGTGCAGGGAGCCTGCTTCTCCCTCTGCCTGTGTCTCTGCCTCTCTCTCTCTGTGACTATCATAAATAAATAAATTAAAAAAAAAAAAAGGAAGGCCAAATATTCTATAAGAAGGTTTAAAGGCTAAGAATTGATAAGTTCTTTGGAGAGAGGGATAGGGTCATACTCTACTGTAGATACCCCACCTTGTATAATTATTAGCATTATAGTCACTCAAATATTTGCTGAAATGATTAACATATTAAATCAATGCTCATATGGGACCCATGGGTGGCTCAGCAGTTGGATGCCTGCCTTCGGCCCAGGTCGTAATCCCAGGATCTGGGATCAGGTCCCACATCAGGCTCCCTGTGAGGAGCCTGCTTCTCCCTCTGTCTATGTCTCTGCCTCTCTCTCTCTCTCATGAATACATAAATAAATCTTTTTAAATAAATAAATACTCAGATTATCTTCAGGTAAGCAAAATAAATTCACAAAACTACATGTCCTTACACAAGAAACTCCATCCCAAACTTCAACTGTGAAAAGAAGATGCTTTCTTGTACCTCACAGGATTGCTATCAAGATTCGATGAGATAATATATGGCAAAATGCTGGGGCAGATCTTGAAATGCTTGGAGGATATGGCATCCGTGCGATCAAAAAGCTTGAGCAGTCCCTTCTCACTATGACAGCTCTTTAGATTCAGTTGTGCTTCATTTTCCTGACCATGAGAAGAAAAAAAAAAAACTGTAACACAGGTTACTCCTTCTCTAGCCTTGGTTTTCTGGAAAAGGGTGAAACTGCAACACTCAAAAGTCCCCTCTAGCTCTAGAAACGGACTTGCACATCTTTTTAAAGGGCCAAGAATACACTCCTTGACTCACATTTGAGACTACCTCCTCATCCACTCCACTCCCCCCATGACTCCATACTTCCCTTCAGGAATGGCAGCACATAGTTCACAACTTAAGTTTTTCAGGACGCCTGGGTGGCTCAGGGGTTGAGCGTTTGCCTTTGGCTCAGGGCATGATCCTGGAGTTTCAGGATCGAGTCCCACATCAGGCTCCCTTCAGGAAGCCTGCTTCTCCCTCAGCCTGAGTCTGAGTCTCTGTCTCTCTCTCTCTCTCTCTCTGTCTCTCATGAATAAATGAATAAAATCTTAAAAAAATAATAAAAATTAAAAAAATGACTTAAGTTTTTCAAAGACTTATTTTTCACTTATTTTACATTTAAATTGAATGTATGCATCCATATTAGACCTTCTGAATAATCCAAATGATTGTTGTAAAACTCTGTATGCCCCCAATGAAAAAAAACTAATAAAAACAGTCAAAATGACAAACTGTCAAGAAGAGAGTTATAACTCCTAACCTCAAAAAGTAAATTTCGGTTTCCTGAGTAAGAAAAATTATCTGCTCTATTTTAAAATCAAAAAAGACAGTCTTAAAAACAAGCACTTATACTCAAAAATAACAATAAATACATGCAAACTCATGGAAAACAATTTTTCTAAAAGAATTACAATGGCTAGAAGAGAACTAAAATGTCCACCATACAATGCTATGTCACTGCATGTAAATGAAATTTTACCAAAAAAAGTTAGTGCTCAAATAAATTATGCAGCTAAAAAGAAATCTACATATTTAAGATTTGTCTTGTTTAAAGTAATTTTGGAGTGTGGTTCTGAAAAGCTCTCCTTGTTTTAACCTTTGTCAAATAGCATCCCACTAAGAGAACGCAACTATGATACTTCCAAGCAAGAGATCTGTTTTATGATGCAAACCAAGGCGAACAGGTCCAGATAAGGTCTGCCACTAGAGAATGCTTCAGAAATAACACACTTTCAAAGAAAACTTTCTTATAAAAAAAGGTAACGTCGAAACTAGTAACTGCTGATAAATTTAGCTACTCAGCACGTTTAAAATCTTATACAAGTGTTAGTAACTTAAAATTCTAAACTTATTTCCAGAGAAAAAGTTGATCCTTTCAGTCCTCGTATAAATGGCAGGATAGCAGCTTCCCGTTTGACAGTTACTCTTAATGCTTATTTTAACTGTATTTTACACCTACCAAATATTTCAGGCTTTAAAGTTCATTACAGCTATTATATTAAAAATTACAACGTGAGTACTGCAATGTTCACTTTTTAAAGAGGAGCAGATTGGAATTAAAGAAACTCATCCAAAGTCACCCAACAAGTCAGCGAAAAAGTTGAGAGCAGTACTAAAACTTCAGCTCCTGGACTAACTACTCTTCACACTTTCCCAGTTCCAAAAGAGAGAGAGAGAAAAAAAAAAAAATGAACTGAAGGGAATTACTTTTTCAGTAACCACAGCATATCTCAAACACAGTAGAAGGCTTATCATGAACACTCACCAAAAAAAGATGCACCTTGAACAAATGAGACCGCTTGCTACCTCTGGATACTACTGTCCCGTCCTAGTTCTTGAAACCAAGCAAAAACTTACTGCATCTGGATAGATTACATCCTAGAGAATGTTCGCTCTTCAATACGCGCAATGTGCTTTCGCACTAACCAAAACAAACAAACAAAACAAAACAAAACAAAACAAAAAAAAAAACAAACACTTGTAAATGAACGTTGCCACCTTTCTCCAGGCTTAGGTACTGTGGGGACACATCAATTCCAAGTCAAAGACCACCTCTCAAAAGTAAGCAGTACTCAAGGAGAACAGAGTAGTTACATAGCCAATAAAGGAAAAGCTCTAATAAGTTGCTTCTTTCGAAGAGATATTTTTAAAGGATGATTACATGCTTCACAGAATTAATGTTAAGTCGCCCGCCGAGAGAGAGAGAGAAAAAAAAAAAAAAAACACGATTCTTGTAAAGTAGCTTTTAAGGCATATCCCTCCCTCTTTTGGGACACAGTCTGACTTGTTGGACAAGAATGATCCGGGCACGCTGACACAGAACCCCTATGAACCTGGCTTAGATCACTGGAAACATCACTCCGACCTCCCAACTATAATAAGTCTTTTCCGTTCTGTAAGGGCCAAAATGACCCCTCTTAATCTCTCCGGAGAAGGTTCTCCGGCAGAGAAAAGGGACAGCCAGTCCCCCTTCCGAGGTTTCTGGGGAAAGTGTCAACAGCAGAGAGAGAGGCTCCTAGGAAGTGTCAGTGCGGTAGCAGGTGGAGTAGCCCCCGGTGCCGAGCAGGTCCCTCCTGACCCAGTCTCCAGTCCTCCGCTTCCAGCCGGGATTCCGCCTTGCAGACCTTCCCCAGCCGCCCGGCGCCCCCGTTCCCACCCCGCAGCGAGGCTCCCAACTCTCCCGGGAGGCCAGGCAGTCTAGGCAGACGCGACGGCCACCCCAGCTCTTCCGGGGACTCGCAGGCCCGCTCCCTGGCCGTGTCGGAGCCTGACGGACCCTGCGAGGGGGAAGGCAGCCGGCGCCCGGTGGGGCCTCCCGGACCCAGCCCCGCACCCCGCGGGCCCCTCCCACCGCCCCCACCCCCTGGAACCACCACGGTCCTTACTCGCGAATCCCCCTGCCCCCGGAGCACCCCAGCGGAGTTACCGGCCCACTCCGAAGTACGAGCGACCGCCGCCCCTACCGGTCACCGCGGCCCCCACTGTCACCGCCCTGCTCGCGGCCCCCGCCCACGCCGCTGGCGAGCCCCGGTGACGCCCGGGTCGGTACCTTGCGGACCCCCTTGTAGATATAGAAGTAGAGCTCCCGGCCCACATTGAAGCAGAGGCGGTCGCCGTTGCCGGACTGGTCGTTGAGGTTTACGAAGGAGACGCGGACGGGGTTGGATCCCTGCGAGTTGAAGGGCACCCGGTTGGGCCGGCTGTACTCCGAGTGCGGCAGCAGCTTGTACAGACCTTCCCGAGTGGTGAATTGGGTCTTAATCTCGTTCATCTCCTTCCCTCCTCCCTCCGTCGCCATCTTGGAAAGCAGCGTTCATCCTGCCCTAAGTGCCCGGATCACGCCCACCGCGCAGGCGCCGTCCCTTCCCCCCGCCCCCCGCCTCTCCCTCCTGGCCCCGCCCACCCGCGAGGCAGCCCCGCGGAGGCCGGCCGACGGGCAGGGGCGGGCTTGTTTACGGCCGCACTGCGCAGGCGCGCTCACCTGGCGCGCCCGGCGCGGCTGGGCGTCCGCAGGCCCCGCCCCCGGGCGCGGCCTCGGGGCGGCCCCAGGGCGGTGCAGGTGAGGCGGTGGGCCGCCCCCCCCCCCCCCCGCCACCCGCCCCGCCGGTAAGCAGACGCCGCGGCGGGGCTGCGGTCGCGAGCGCAGAGGTGACCTGGAGCGGCCGGCGCAGCCCGGAGGAGCGGGGGGAGAGGGCCGCACCCCCGTACACGGTGGGCACGTGGGGAGCCCCGGCGCCCTGCCTCGGGGGACGGCGGGGGCTCCCCGAAGCTGGGGGGCCGCTGCCCCGGGCCACCCGCACGACGCCCGGGGACCCCTCCGCGCCTCCCCGAGCCACTTTCCGAGAAGGTACCGAGGGCCCTCAGTGCCCCGCTTCACGGCGGCGGGGCGGCGGGGGGGGCGGGGGGCAAGGGGCGGGAGCGCCCTGGACGTGGGTGCACACGTGGGTCCCGGCGCGTGTCTTCGCAGGTCGGCTCTCTGGCGGCCCGTCGGGCGAAGTAGGTTGTGTTGGCGCTTCCGCTGCTTAAGTGCGTCCTCTCCAGGTGTTCGGAGCAAAGAGGGAGCGTCGGGTCGGGCAGCGGCTTTCGGAACCAGAGACCCAGGCAGGGGATGCTGGAGGCGCTATTCTCATGCGCAGTAGCTTGACAATTAGAGGCCACTGGTGAAAAAGAGAAAAAAAGAAAAAAACCAGCTCAGGTGGGACCTGCCAGATTCCTACGCAGAGTTGTGTGCGTACGCTATGCTAGATCTAGATGTGGAAGGACAGCGCCCGGGGTCGAGGATCAGACGGTCACTCTCTTAGAGCTGGGTTTCCTTGGCAGGTTGCGCTTAAAGTAAGAAAGTTTCTAAAGCGACAGAAATTTCCTGGGAGCATTACAGGGTGGAGGAAGCCGACGTTTGTTACACCGAGAATGAACTATGTCTTTATTTAAAAAAAAAAAAAAAAGAAAGAAAGAAAAAAAAAAAGAGAGGTTATTTATTCATTCATGAGAGACGCAGAGACACAGGCAGAGGGAGAAGCAGGCTCCCTGCAGGGAGCCCCGACGTGGGACTCGATTCCGGGTCTCCAGGATCACGCCCTGGGCCCAAGGCGGCGCTAAACCCTTGAGCCACCCAGGAATCCCTCAACGGGGGACTTTTTAAAAATATATATTTTATTTATTTATTCATGAGAGAGACACACACACACACAGAGGCAGAGACAGGCAGAGGGAGAAGCAGGCTCCATGCAGGAGCCCGACATGGGACTCGATCCTGGTACTCCAGGACCACACCCTGGACTGAAGGCTGGTGCTAAACCACTGAGCCACCCGCCTGCCCTGAACTATTTCTTTAAATTCAAATCACAGCTGGAGGGTCGCAAAATTAGTAGATGGGGGTAGAGGGGCCTGAATCACAAACGTCTTATGTATTACAAAGCAAGTAGGTACTGCCAATGATGTAACAATGCCTTTGACACCAACATCCTGTATCCGTTGTTCGTGTTGGCAAAAAAAAAACACTAGAGCAAAGTCCTATTTAATTAATAGACCCCTAAAATAGCTACAGTTTTTGGTTGTAATTGTTTTTATGTTCTCTGCCTTTCTCTAAAAGTCAAATAGATATCAAAAGTCTTAAAATGCCAGGATGTGTGCTGCGGTCACCACGGATTTATTCCAATTTCCTCTGTTATTTTACATTGAAAATACATACTTATAATGAGACCCTTGAGGGATAGTGACATCTGGAATCCTCTAAAAATAATTCAGGTGTGGGCACCTGGGTGGCTCAGTTGGTTAAGTGTCTGCCTTCCGCTCAGGTCATGATTTCAGGGATCCTGGGATGGAGCCCTTTCTTGGGTTCCCTGCGGAGCGGGGAGTCAGCTTCTCCCTCTCCCACCCTTACCCCCACTCTCGCTCTCGCTCATGTCTTTCTCTCAAATAAATAAAATCGAAAAAATAATAATTCAGCTGTGTTCCCTAGTTATCAAGAGGGGGAATAAAGCATACTTTTTTGGAGAAAAGAAAAAGCTCAGCAAGCAAAAATTAAATACAAATTTTATTAGCCTTCAATTAACCATAATTAACGACAATTAACAATAATACCTCAGGCTTTCTGTTAAGGTTTTATTCTATATAAGTTCAACATATTATCACAATAATAGGCTATCCCCTTTGTCCTATTCAGAGCTTTCCAATAATATCTATTCTTTTTTTTTTAAGATTTTTTATTTTTTCATGAGAGACAGAGAGAGGTAGAGACACAGGCAGAGGAAGAAGCAGGCTCCCTCCAGGGAGTTCCATGTGGGACTCGATCCTGGAACTCCAGGATCACGCCCTGAGGAGAGGCAGACGCTCAACCACTGAGCCACCCAGGCGTCCCAATAATGTCTATTCTTAATATGTTTTTCTCTCGTAGTTCCCACATACACTCTCAAGGATTCAATAATAACACCCAAATTTATATAACAAGACCTGACCTAAAAACAGTTCATTTCTAATTTTCTCTGTCAAGCCAGGCGTTTCTGAATGGGTTGGTGCCTCACAGTCATCCATCTCTAAACCTGATCGTTTCCTTTCCATTCTCAAACTTGAATCCTTATATAACGGCTTCGTGAATGATTTCCTTGATTTTAGTTTTTCTCTCAACTTTCCTCCTGTAAACATCTACCAAATTAATTTTTTAAACAATACCTTAGATATTATATTCTCTTACCCCAAGACTCTCAATGACTTGCAATAATCGTATTAAATCCTACACTGAGCAATTCACAGCCTATTCTTACATATTACATAAATCCCCCATTCAAGTCAAACTGTACTCCCATCACCCTTAGTTCCTTCTCTGGCGTAGAAAGCTATTCCTTTCCTTTCCTCTTTTTTTTTTAAGATTTATTTATTTATTCATGATAGATGTAGAGAGAGAAAGAGAGAGGCAGAGACACAGGAGGAGGGGAAGCAGGCTCCACACCAGGAGCCCGACGTGGGACTCAATCCCGGGACTCCAGTATCGCACCCTGGGCCAAAGGCAGGCGCCAAACTACTAAGCCACCCAGGGATCCCCTCTTTCCTTTCCTCTTTATCATACCCTGTTCTTTAAGAACTAGCTGAGTCTCATCTTCACGAAGCCTTTCCAACCCTAAAAACCATACTTGAAACAAAAGACTGTCTATTCAGCATTATGACTGGCTTCATGGAGTGCTTGAAGTCCTAGTAATTGTATTAAACTTTTATGTACGTGTTCATTATATCATTGGAGTGTGTAGTTTTCATCAGATTTTCAAGAGTCCAGCACCCAACTGAACCACCCCAGCACCCCCCCCCCATATTGATAATTACCTCTCTAAGCTTTTTTTTTTTAAAGATTGTATTTATTTGAGAGAGAAAGCAAGAGAGTACGCATGGGCAGGGGAGAGAAGGAGAGGGAGAAGCAGACTCCCCACTGACAGGCTCGTCTCCGTCCCAGAACTCTGGGACCAGGACCTGGGCCGAAGGCAGATCCATAACCCACTGAGCCTCCCAGGGCCCCCAGATGTTTAAACTTCTGTGGTACTTTCCTGAATTTTTTAAAGATTTTCTTTATTTATTCATGAGAGACACAGAGAGAATGGTAGAGACACAGGCAGAGGGAGAAGCAGGCTCCATGCAGGGAGCCTGACGTAGGACTCAATCTGGGGTCTCCAGGATCATGCCCTGGGCTGAAGGCAGTGCTAAACCACCGAGCCACCAGGGTTGCCCACTTTCCTGAATTTTCATTTGTCACATGTAATATTCTAAAAAATTATCTTCTTTGGTATTTGTCAGCTCATGCTAATAATCTTGTGTTGATATTTAAGTTTCAGTGTATATATGCTGACTTTCAACCAGATTGTAAGTACATTCTAAGATACGAGGGACCATGTTAAAATTGTTTATATCCTCGAATAGTTTTTTTTTTAATAAAGATTTTATTTATTTATTCATGAGAGACAGAGAGGCAGAGACATAGGCAGAGGAAGGAGAAGCAGGCTCCGTGCAGGGAGCCCGATATGGGACTTGATCCCGGAACTCCAGGACGACATCCTGAGCCAAAGGCAGACACTCAACTGCTGAGCCACCCAGGGGTCCCTCAAATATTTATTTGATGCCCACATGTGCCATTCTGTCCTAGCCTTTGGAATGCATCAGTAAACAAAATCACTCAGAGTTTATATTCTTGCAAGGAGAAGACTAGATAAACAATAAACACAAGTTAGTAAATTGTATAGTGATTGTGCTAAGAAAAAGTAATAGCGTGAATAAGGGGGATTGGGAATGCGATGGGTAGTTTGCAGTTTGTGATAACATGGTCAAGGTAAGGTTCAGTGAGAAAGTGACATTTCAGCAAAGAATTGAAAGAGGTGAGGGAGTGGACCATGGGAAGATCTGGGGGAGCCATACATAATTCCCAAGGCAGAAGTGTACCTAACATGTTCAAAAAATAGCAAGACAGAGACACCTGGGTGGCTCAGTTAGTTGAGTGTCTGACTTTGGCTCAGGTCATTATCTTGGAGTCCTGGGATCAAGCCCTGAGTCAGTCTCCCTGTTCTGTGGAAATCTGCTTCTCCCTCTCTCTCTCCCACCCCCCAGCTTATGCCCCCTCCCCTCTTTCCCCCTTCTCTCTCCCTTCTCTCTCCCCTCTCGCTCTGGAGAGCATGCACACGGGTGTGCCCCCCACAGTGACTTTTTTTTTGTATTTTTTATTTTTTAAAAGATTTTATTTATTTATTCATGAGAGACACATAGAGAAAGAGAGAGGCAGAGACACAGGCAGAGGGAGAAGCAGGCTCCATGCAGGGAGCCCGATGTGGGACTCGATCCTGGGTCTCCAAG